CTCACTCAGAATTAAATACTTTCAGACTGTCTTCGATGTCTCAGGTAAATATAAAAAAAAAAAAAAATAAAATAAATAAAATAAAATAAAATAAATAAATAAAAAGAAATATAAATAAATAAATAAATAAATAGATTGTTTTATTTATTTATTTTGTTTATTTATTTATTTTATTTATTTTATTTATTTATTTGTTTTATTTATTTTATTTATTTAGTTGATAGAATTAAATACTTTCAGACTGTCTTCGATGTCTCAGGTATATATAAATAAATAAAAAAAATAAAATAAAATAAAATAAAATAAATAAATAAAAATAAAATAAAATAAATAAATAAAATAAATAAATAGTTTTGTTTATTTATTTTGTTTATTTTATTTATTTATTTATTTATTTTATTTATTTATTTATTTTATTTATTTATTTATTTATTTTATTTAGTTGATAGAATTAAATACTTTCAGACTGTCTTCGATGTCTCAGGTATATATAAAATAAAATAAAAAATAAAGTAAAAAATAAATAAAAATAAATAAAAATAAATAAATAAAAATATGTAAAGAAATAAACGGGTTTATTTATTTCCTTTTTTATATTAATCTTTTAACTAAATTTGCTGCTGCTGCTGCTGCTGATGTTGCTGCTGCTGCTGCTGATCATGCTGCTGCTGCTGCTGCTGCTCATATTGCTGCTGCTGCTGCTGCTGCTGCTCATATTGCTGCTGCTGCTGCTGCTGCTGTTGTTGTTGTTTTCAGATGCAGCAGCACTTGCTGCTGCTAGCAGCAGCCTGGGTTATCGAGACAAGAAAAAGGAGAAGCGTTTGTGTCGTGCTGTTGCTGCTTTTTATTTATTAGTTTCTGTTGCTGCATCAGAGTTTACAGCTCCTGCTGCTGCTGCTCTCTGCTGCAGCAGCAAACTGCTGCGTGCTGCTGCTCCCCTCATCGCCATCGCATGCAGCAAGGGGGGCCTCCTAGCTGTTGTTGTTCTTAGGGCCCTTATGCAGGCTATCTCTGCTGCACCTGATGCAGCAGCAGCAGCAGCAGCAGCAGCAGCAGCAGCAGCAGATA